GGTGGGGGGGGTTGGGTGGGGGGCTAATGACGTTGGTTTGGATGTGCTTCGAAGGTGATGTCACAGGCACACACGCTATCGCATGATGTGGAGATCACCAGTTGCAAGCTTCAGAAGGCAAGTTGCAGAATCTGACTTTCCAGTTTTCAGAATACCAGTTGCAGAATCTGACTTTCCAGTTTCAGAATACCAGTTGCAGAATCTGACTTTCCAGTTTCAGAATACCAGTTTCAGAATCCCAGCTTCAGAATCCTAGTTTCAGAACCTCAGTTTCAGAACCCTAGTTTCAGAACCGCAGTTTCAGAACACCAGTTTCAGAATCCAAGTTTCAGAACCCTAGTTTCAGAACCCCAGTTTCAGAACCCTAGTTTCAGAATCCGACCGATTAGTTTCCGAATCCGGCTCTAACCCTATTTCCCCTTTTTTTGGGTCTTTGGCCTTTGGGATGCTTCCCTGCATTTTGATGACAAGCCTGACAAGCCCCACTCCTGGGTCCTAGCAGTATTTTTTGCTTGTGTTGATGATCTCTACGACCGGGCTCACGTCGAACATTGTCTGAAGAATGCTGCGGGAGGGTTCTTTCAAGGATCCACACTCTCAGACTGTACCTCACAGGCTTTTTCCATGTCCCAGACATGTTCTGAACATGATTGCTTCCTCCAAGGTTGTTGTGGGTTTGCGTTCTCCCATTGACACCGTCTAAAGACCAGCTCTCCAGGGTTGAAGCGAAGCAAGCTGAGTCGAAAGGGGGGTCGCGCCGGACCTGAGCGGTTTGGTTGACAGGTCTCCAAGAAAGCTGGGAGCGGATTTGGCCTTTCGTGTACTTGGGGGGCGTCCAGATCTATGCGACGTGAGCCCCGACCTCGCGGCATGCCGTGAACGGCGGGAGGAGCCCTTCAGGTTTGCCGTTCGTTGGTAGCATGGCACGGCGGATTTTCCAAGTGCGAGGGAAGCATTTTTTGGCTGATCTCCTCTCCTTCACAGCTCCAGGCTGAGGTCATTTTTTCTGCAGTGGATTGATGTGGATATCCATAAAATCCGCCCATTTTGGGCAGAAATTGGGCACAGTTGGAAGAATCCAGGGATGACTAGCAACTAGAGGATCCCGCTCCGTTCGGAGCCCGGACTTGCTTGGGCGCTTCCCCGCCTCCGGTCGGTCCCAAGATCCGGGTGGGACGGCCGCGAAGGGCCGCCAGGTACCTGGTTCCGCCCCTGATCGCTTTGCTCTACGGCTGTCTGAGCTGTTCCTCTGCGGGGTCCATCCGGCGAGGTCCGGAAGTACACGGTGAGAGGTCGGGGCGAGGAAGGGGACGCCTCAACAACGTGGGTGGTGGATCCTGCTTCGCGAGGATTTTCAAAAGAGATATCTTTTTGGGGGTGATTGGTTTTTCCCAGGGTTTGTTGGTGGGCATGAAGAGTGTGCCCGGATTTGGAAGAGATGCCTGGTTTGGAGCCACCTTCATCTGCCTTGAACTTCAAACGCCAGAAGCCAAGGGAGATGGAGTCCCTTGTCCAACCATAGTTTTCAGAAAAATAACTCAATGAGATTTGGAGTTCAGACGAATTTGTCTCCTCCACCCTTCGACTTCCTTCCTCTACCCAGCGAAATCCATGGCGACCCACGTCGCCCCAAACGCGCAAACAGACCGACGTGAGTTTGGTGCTCCGACTCTGCTCGGTCGACCGGGAGGTTTGGGCCTTTGCAAGCACGAGCAGGATGAACTGGAGGGCGAAGGCGACCCGCTGAGACCTGGCCATAGACCAATGGATCGACTGGGGGGACCGTTGTGAGGGAAGGTGACCGGTGACCGGCGGGTTTGTGGAACGGTGATGGCCGCGGGCGGAGGGTGAACATACGTGTTCCGAAAGGGAGAGAGGTTGGAACACCTGGAGCTAGACCCATCTTCAAAAAGCATCCATAACGACAAACCTGGGGGGGGAGGAGACACCAACAGCCGAGTTGGGGGACACGCTGAGAACTTGGTGTGGCAGCTGAGGATTGACTCCTGTCAGAATATTGGAACTGAGATCTCCCACGAGATGGACGCCGCGCAGCGGGACTGGGACAAGGAAGAGGGCCACCACTGCGAATGCTGTGCCTTTTGCTGTGTCCGGCCCCTTCACATGCTAAGGGCCGAAGCATTTTTGGAAGGGCCGGAGAGTTTTAAGTGTGCTTGTTGGAAAACAGGTGGTTCCTTTGACGGGTCAGAAATCCTTTTCTTTGGAAAGGAGGTGATCAGCACCCACAAAAGCAAATTAGAAAACCACTAGTATCCATGTGTGACATTTTCTTTCATGACAGACACCCCAACAAATACCCCACGGAACTGCAGAACTGCAGGCTGGAAGGATGTGCAAAATATTGCGCCTGGCTGCTGCCGCAAAGAACTCTCAACATTGCATCTGATGACCGCGAGACCTTGTTGAGGCTTGATTGGAGTCGCCTCAGCACTGATTTCAAGTTCAATCAGGATGCTCGCATCAAAGTGTCAGTCGTCGCGGAGGGCCGGTCAGGAAGCTGTCGACCATCTGGCCAAGTGATTGTATGTCGGCCTGACAACATGTGGTATCCATTCCAAGATCTGTGGGGACCGTGTGTGAATGAGCACCATCGGTGTGCGAAGACGGGTTTTGTGTGGTGGCCACTAAGAATCAGAGCTGAGCTGAGCTCTGGTACAGCTGGCCTTTTGGATGCCTTTGTTTGAGTGGATCGGATCTCGAGAAAGATCCCCTCAATCAGATTGCCTTTGGGTGTTAGAAGAACCAAGTAGACGAAGCCGGAGGTCTCACATTGAGTCGGGGGAATCCGCTCACAAACACCATTTGCGGAACAGTCTACAGTAAAAAGAAGGAGCTCTTTCCCCAAAACCAACCAGAACCTATAACCACCTGTGAAACATTCAGACCCTTTTCAGAAGTATCATGCGATGGTCACGTGGTGAACCCAAAACAAGACGTTGCGCCTCCCGAATCGCCGCCGCCGAGGCGTGCATGCACCACCTCGCCCAGTATCGCCACGCGCCTCGGAAGTCATCGTGGGCGTCGCGGTGAGCGGTTGGTTGGCGTGGTGGGTCCGGGGTGCGGAGGAGTCTCGGAAGCGGAGGGAGCCCTGGCTGCTGAGTCTGTGCTGGAAAAAGGGGTCGTGAGACCCGCAGATGTCCATTTCATTCCCACACGAAAGAAGACACCTGTCGACTGACTGTGTGAAGTGGGTTCTCTGGCAGAGGTGCATGTTTTGTTTTGTTTTTTGGGCAGAACAGGACCTGCAGATGCAAACATTTCGACCCTTCATGTAGACCGTGGATGAATCAAATTCTTCTACCGGAATGGTTTTACATCTCCATGTGGGGGTAGTTATATTAAAGAAACAGTCTCCACAACACAGCTGTAGGAACTGGATGGAGTGACTGAAGCTCTTCACGACTTCTCTCCCTTTGATGAGCCGTCGTCGAGTGATGATGAGGACGCCGCTTCGCTCGGAGAGCTAAGAGAGGAGTGTGGCATCAGCACATGAATTGCGTGAAGGGTTGGTTTTGATGATTGGTTGAAGGAAGAATGTGATCAAGTGCTTGAACTGGCAATTGACAAGTTAGCGAAGGTCCTCACGAGAGAAGTACGTCGATAGAGAGAGAGAGAGAGAGTTGGGATATTTTTGGTGTCTTTCGCAGATCTGTTCTTGTCCCATTTGGTCACTTTCCTTCTGTGCATTCCTTTGATGAAAACACCGATTGAATCGTCGACAGGATTCCAGTTGCCCCACACCCTATGGCAAAGGCTGCGTGGACTTTTGTCTTGGGCGAGAAATGCTCTTCAATTATGATGTCAACGAGAGGCACGCTCCATCCCTCCGCAAGCAAATGAAGCATGAGAGCCTTGGAGGATCTTCAGCGGGACACTACACTACTTGAAGTACTTCAGGAGGAACCTCTTTTTTTTCTTGGGTCTTATATCCTCTATATTATGGATCAGCTGCGGTGGAATTAAGAAGTCCATTTTACGTGGCCAGTGTGGGACGATAAATTTTCACTCTCTTCTGAATTTGTAACAGTTAAACAGCTGTGGAGGGAGGACATTCGACCGTGTGAGGCGACATAAGCAACCTGTGCGTCGACAGCAGGATTCAATGGGGAAAGGGTTCTCGATATGGAACCTTCAAGAAGAAACACCCCTTTGTCCTAGTGGTGTGTTTTCATGGTTACGTGGTGTTCCCCAACTGTACTGTTTGTAGAAGAAGAGGAAGGTTCCTCCCAGGGGGGGCCATGCCATCCACGGGAGTGTAACACCCGACGTCGATGCGACCGTCTTGCTGTTCCAGAAGCCAAGACAGTGGACACCCAGGAATGACGAGAACACCATCGATGACGCAGCTTGCCAGCTTCATTGACCCTGTTCTCCGCGGTCTTTTCGTTTGACTTGCGGATCAAAGAGTGTCAGGAAGCTTCATCCATGAGCGGTGAGTCCCCATACCCGGATGATCATTTCACTAAAGGTCAGGCAGGCATGTCATTTTCCCAATCCACATGGACTGCACTTCTGTTTGGACTCTACCTCCAGCCACTGTCATCTTTGTTGGTGTCCAACACATGCAGAGAAAAGGTATCACCCTTTTTCCCAGCTCCTCCACCTCCAACCTGCCACTGCGGAGCAAAACGACCCAACGCCGAAGACCGGCGCCCGGACTCGGACATGGCCCGCGCCCGGACTCCCGCTGCGCCTCGGAGCTCGGAGCTCGGCGCCCGATCGAGGCTTTGATTCAGGTGGTGTTGGTGACGATCCGATCCATCTCGCAGATCGCCCTCCAGCACCCTGGGCACCGACTGGGAGACGGGACGGTTGGGGCGGAGGTTTGGAGAGGGGGTCAGAAACAAACGACCTGAGTTGACCAGCAACTCTGACGAAAAAGACTCTAATAAGGACTGTGAACATTTGTTGATGCCTGATCTGGAGACACACTCATCTCTTCAGTATCTTCTTACTCTCAAAAGACGAGTGCTGAAGAGCCAAGATCCATCGACCCATTGACTGATCGGCTCGAGTGGTTCTCCAAACTCGGACTTCAACTGGGCAGCGTTCGTTTGGAAGCCTGCAAGTCATCAGCGTTTCGTTTCAGAGGATCCAAGTCCCGACTTCAAGGTCTCGTAGCTTCCAGGGATTGGGCCATGCCAGTCGAGAGAGTCTTCTGGTTTATGTCTCCTGAATACGACAATAGGCTGCCTGGTTCATGGAACAAGTGCCTTGTTCTCTGGATCATGTGAGGGTCGAAGCTGGATGAATCCGAACAAAGCTACGGCACTGAACTGCAGGATCACACCGGCTTCTCTTAGTTGCCGAACCCGTCCCCGGTCTCACCTGTGCGACTCGCCACCCATGTGCCATCCAACGGGGACCTCTTCGGCGCGCCGAGGCAGACGATCACCATTTGGCTGATTCGGACTCTGGCAGCTAGCGACTTCGAAGGCATGATCGAGGCGCGGTGGTTGCGCCTCCGCTCCTTCGGGGCGCCAGCTGGGTGGGTCAAAACAGTAGGAAGAACACACAGAGCCTTTGGGGTTGCGCGGTGCGGCCTTGATTGGAGCATGCCGCACGGGTTTTGGAGGGGTCATCACCTGGTTTCGGGAGGATCTGGCAGGTGATGTTCGAACAGATGTTCCAGACCTTCAGATGACAAAGGTGCTGACCCAGGCGAAATCACTCTGGAACCACAGAACAAGGGATGGTCAATCACAAGGCAGTCCGATCATTTGTTTGCACTCTAGGACGACATAGAATTCATCTATGGCATGAGAGTTTGTCTATGTCTGATGCAAATACATCATGACATGACAGTCATCATGCCATTCTCCGAACCGAAGTCGGCACCCTCCGAACCCTCCGAACCCCGTGGGGCGTCAAACGCTTCGCTGGTCTCGACCGATCGTCGTAGGCGATGCGGCAGACAGTAACCGAGCGAACGTGGCCCGGGAGGAAGGTCCTGTGGGGGTCTGGAGAGGTCGTGTGGTTAATGGGTAGGGACAATGTGAAGGTCTGATTCTGGAAGGTGGAGAGTGATGCCATACGTGGCCGCCTGGTGCGGGTGGAGGAGATCCTGAAGGTCTCAGGCTCCAAGAGATTTGGGGTGTGTAGCTCGAAGAAGGGAGACCTCTCTTGTGGAAGATCCCCTCCTGGACAGTTCGGACAAATAGACCAGTCTACCCGTTGGTTCCGGGTCGTTGAAACACACACACCCATGTAAGCTCTTGGACCATATTGAAATTCCTCTTCGTAGGGCGGGTTTTGATTTGTGTCGTGGTCTAGATAAGTCTTGTGATTTCAGGTGGCGCAAAGCGGTGAAAGGGAAGTCCAGGGATGCCTTTTTACCACCATGCAGGGGTGCAGGGGGGTTGCTATTTCGCCAAAAAGCAGATGATCCCCTCTTGGGAGTCGCTTTTTTTTCCTTTAGCAGGTGCAAAAGGACTGCATGTTCATGGACCATGGGACCTGCAGGGGAGGGGAGATTTGGAGCCTGTTTTCATCATTCAGTGCGAGATCTCTTCCGAGGTTTGACAACTATGCCAGACATTTGGCCACCATTGGTGAACAGAAGTTGCAGCAGGCATTGAACACGGTGTCTTGTCTGAATCGGCAGGCAAAGAGACGCCGGCAGGCACAGAAACGAGTGTTTGCTTGGTGGTTTGATTGGGGGAAGCAGTTTACCCAGCTTTCACGTTAAGCAGTTGTGCTCATTCTTTCTTCAAAGTAAATGGTCCCTCGATGGTCCTCGTTTCACATTTTTCCGCACTTCTTGAGAATGCCATGACGGTTATTTGGCTTCGAGACAGATCCTGAGGAAGGGATGCGAACATGACGCCAACCAAAACAAGCAATTGCACCAACCTACATACCCGGTACTCGCAGGTGGCAGCCAACTCGTCGTTTTTCCGTTTTTCTACCAGCTCAGCCCTCGAGTTCGGTTGCCGGTTTTCGAGGTCTGGGGCCTGTGAAGAGCCCGTCTGAGGCGGTCTCACCTGGCCCCGACCGGTCGCGTGAGGGAGCATCTGGCACCCATGAGGTTGGATGGAACCTGAGCCATGAGGTGGCGAAACGAAAGGACCAAGCGCCGTTGAATGAAATATGTTTATAGTTTTTGAACGCCAGTGAAGGGAGTTTTCGCACGACCCAACCTTTTTGAGCCACCCAAATCTGTCAATGAAGCATCGATGCATCCGATCGGTTGAAAAAGCTGCCGGATGGGTGATGCCGGGGGCGAGCCACTCGGAGGCCTAGCGAAGCCACGTGAAGAGACTGTGAGGTGGACAGCCAATCAGGTGAAGGAAAGCCACCTTAAAAGTTGAGGACACAAACAAATCAGAGACCACAGGGAAGGATTGCTTGGAAGTGGATTTCAGGCCAGACAAGGTCGGCTAGTGTGTGGCGGTTCAGCACGTTGACCTTTGATGCATGAAGCCGCTCCGTAGGACAACTTGGCCTCTGTAGGAGTTGGCCCGGGCTCTTCTTCCCCCGATCCAGGTCTCGAAGGCCTCGCGCCAGGACTTTGCAGGCTCCTCTGCTGTGCCCGGCACCGCCCGGAGGCGTGTGATGTTTGCTGTTCAGGGTCTCTGTGGTGGATGTGATGGGTGGATGGACCAGGAAGACCAGGATGGACTTGGGAGGAAGCCCTGTTTCTGGATTGGCAGTAGATGGGGTGCCCAAAAGCATGCTTAAAATGGAGGAGAACTTGGTGCATCAATCACCGCGCGACTCTTTTGTCGCAGGGCTCGTCGCAAGGACAATGAAACGTCTTTCTGTGTCTTGGCCATCTGCTTCGCCAGCACCCTGATCCTTCAGCTCAAACCACTCCTCCAAACGCTGTGATTTGTCCAACAGGTCAGCAGACCTCATCTGGGCCCTGAGCTCGTCCTCCTTGTGGTCCTTGTTCTTGTTTTTCTCTTCCTGTGTTGTCAGAAACTTCTTTTTTTCCTGAACTTCTGCCATGTCTTTCTGGTTCTGAAGTATCTCCTTGGGCTCTGTCAGGAGATTTCATCACTCAGACGTGCGCAACTGCATATTGTAGGTTAATGATCACTCCTCGTCACTCCGAAGTCTCTTTCTTGCGAGATCACTCCTGGTGAGAATAGCCAACAACACCATGAATTGGGCCAACAAAGATGCGGATAAATGATACAAATCCCTTGAGGCAGGACAGATTGTTCTCCAGGAACACCATGAGCAAGCTCATGAACTGAGTGGAATATCACAAATTGAAGGCAAAAGAACGATTGACGGGTAATCCTTTGCAGAATCGATCGAATCGATCGCTACGTTGCAGTCACCACCATCACAGAGAAGTCAAGAAATGCCACGGTTCTGTCACCAACGAAGCTGTGAGCTATATGAATAACACAAGTGAAGACATGCTAAGTTGATGCCAATAGTTCTGTTCAAGGACAGGCTCGTTCCGTTCTGACGGACCAGTCCGTGAGTCACCGGGTCAGCGGGGCGGGAACGATGGAGTTTTTGGAGGCCTCCTTCTCATGGTGGATGGTGCGATTTTCCAGTGCTTCCTGCGTCCAGTTGTCTTAGGGCTTGCGACTGGAGTTGGAGTTGAATGGTGCATTTCGCGACCAAGGGGCCGCATAGCACAGTTCTGCTTCTGCTGCAGTAGAGAGAGCCACTTGTCGAATTTTGCTTTCTTTTTCACACCAGCTGTCCGATTCCCTGCTGCCTTCATCCTCTTCACCCTCCAGTCAGGCACGCCAGACGCAGGCGCTATCGTGGCAGCCGGGCCTCCCCAGAAGTGCTTGCGGCTTCCTGCGGCCGCGCCGCGCCGCGCCACGGGCGTCGCTTCGTTCGGCCGTCGTCGCTCGGGCTCGCGGCAGCTTGAGGCTTGGAGCTTGCAGACAATTGCACGGGGGTCCCAGGATTTTCTGCTTCGGTGCATCTCTTCGTCTTTGTCCATCGAAGGACTCCGCAGGATTTGCAGGTGATAGAACCGAACGGATCGAACCGAAGGGAAGAAGCGAGAGTTGGATAGAGCGTGTTGGACTTGGAGTGTCGTAAGAAGTCTTGGTAGCCATTTATGTAACTTACCCTACAATGCCCTACAAGACTTGCTTCGTCGCAGGGAACGTCACTTTACAAGACGCGGCGGTGCAGCATTCTCCGAGGCAATGTCTTTTTCTGGGAGAATGGACGAGTAGTGCAAGTAGTTCGGGCCTGCGATGGGACGGTCGAAAGCTCAGCAAGCCTGCCCCCCTGGGGCGGTGTTCATACCCTCCATTTCGGCCTTGGACGTTGTGTCCATCCATCTTGGGGCAGCTGGGCTGATCTTGTTGGGGCCCGATGTTGTGGACTTAACGCCAGCCTCCGACTTCGTGGCGAGCCTCGCGCGCGTGGGCGGTCGATGGGCCGAGGTGCTTCGGGAGATCGACACTGGACAGAACTTCCGACGTTTCTTGGGCCCAAACTCAGCGGCCGACGTGCTGCGGAGTGGTGCTTTGGTAGCCCAAACGAAGGACATGAGGCCCTAACTGTTCACATCTCCTGCGACACCTTGGGGGTGGATGGTCTCCTTTTCAAGGTGATGTGAGCTGAACCGGGAAAGGAGTCGAAGAGAAGCGACGAGTCGAAGCCGCTTTGGACACCGACCCCTTGCGTGGGGGAGACTGGAGTCAGTGGTTGGACCAACAGAACCGGTCTACTTCAGATGAAGTGACGAAGTATGTGCCACGTTGCAACCTGACATCAACATTGGTCACCCAAGAAAGGGAATTGAAAACAGGATGATCTTGCCTGATGTTCCTTTTTTCCCGCCAGATCTGTGCACCATCGTTTTGGGTGCTAAGCTGTATATGTTCTGCCCAAAGAAGCTGCATATACTTCTCCTCACTTCTGGCCGCCCTGCGGGCGGTAGAGCAGAGTCGAGCAACATCTCTTGAGGGGCACATCGTTCAGGTGAGATGATCTGAGATGTTTCTCCCACTGGGGCACTCAGCTCGGAAGGTCAGCTCGAGAAACAACAACAACACGCCACACCTTGCCTCCCCTTTCGTGTCAGGCCACCATGATCTCTTTCCGGGTACACCTGTTCTGGGCTCCAAACACTTTCTGCAGAACGTGACGTGTCAGGCTGCTTCCATCGCTTGGCCAATGTGAAGAAGAAGCTCTTCGTTTGCCTGAACGATTGCATCAAGGCACCACTATCGCTCGGACTGAACCACCGAACCCCCGAACCCGGAGAGGACCGGAACCGGACCGTCTGGTCGGATCATCCTTGGAGGAAGCATGAAGTCCACTGGCTGCTCAAAAAGGTACCCCAGGTCATCCAGTTGGTCTTGAGAAAAGCGATCTCCCCGACCTCCCGACCGAGGTCTTCCGGCGTGCTCGAATCGCGCAGGTGTGGGACTACGAGAGCTTCCAGACCCCGGTGGAGCTGCCCCCGGCAAGGCCGGCCGGTCCGTGGAGGGGTGTTTTGTGTGTGTGTGTGTGTAACCCTTGGAGTCATAGGGCTTCTTTTGAAGTTTGCTGGATGATACTCACAAATCTTGAAGTGTACCATGTTGTTGCAGTTGAACGGAATGATACGCACTAATCTTGAAGTGTACCATGTTGTTGCAGTTGAAAGGATTGAAACGCACAAACCTTGTTGTTGCAGTTGAAAGGAATGAAACGCACAAATCTTGCAGTGTACCACGTTGTTGTAGTTGAAAGGAATGATACGCACAAATCTTGATGTTTTTT